CTGGACTGGTGACAGGCTGTGAGACGTATCGTGGGACAGACTGAAACCTGAAAGCGGCTTCACAGGGTCTTTTATAGAAAAGCTTCCGGGCCTAAAAACAAACAAAGTTCTGATAATTCAGCCGAACTATTTAACAGAACTTAGTCCCAAACAGGGAACGAGCGAGCTCTGAACAGAACCGACCTGCTGAAGGTGACCATGCGTCTCTTCCAGTGCTGCAGCTCGGCCGACGGTCCGACGTCATCGGCCTCCTTCCTGATCTGTTCGCTCTCCGTCAGCACCTGCTTGATCTGATTGGTCCACACCGAGGCCACGCCCTCCAGACGCTCCACCAGCTCGCCGTTACTGGCTGAGAGCAAAAACACAGACTGTCCGTCACAGCGACTCGTCACAGCTGGATAGAGTGTCGACGAGATGAGCCGAGACGAGCCTTTCTTCTTCTCACAGTGAGGATTGTCACAGACGTTTGGGAACACCAGCAGAAGAACGAAACGCATTGACAAACATACGTTAGTGCTGATTTTGCTCAGATTCTTGTCTCTGTAGAAAAACGAATGCTGCTCAGGGTTTCTACAGTGAACAGACCGGTCCCACAGCGCGGCGTGAAGGCCTCGCCGCTGCACCAGAGGGAACCACGGCAGAAGAACACACACCGATACAAACACACACGCTGAGTCACTGTGGACGAGATGTTTTATTTACTTGTTTGTCCATTTGGGAAAAATGTTGAATCAGATTTCCAACAAGGCCGGCGTAATACTGGACACGTTTTGAGTCATTGTGAAGAAAAGTACTTGTTGGTTTCGTTAACCATCCGCATGGTGGCGACCATGAAGTCATCCTCCACGGCGGGACTGTCGGACGTCTGCTGGAACATCAGAGGAACATTCAAACCACCACAACTGTGCTGCGACGCACCCGAGTGCTTCAGACTGCATCCGGTCACAACACTTCATGTGCCGGTTGTCTGGATACAGCAACACAATCGTTGGTCTTCGGTTACAGAAGATTTATTCTTTCATTAGACTCAGCCCAGAAATGATACGCTAGAAGTCCTAACCTGTTTGCAAACAGCAGGTGAGCTGAACTTCTAATGTATTCATTTACAGACGGAGGTCCTAGAAGGAGACGAGATGACAGCTGTATGCTAGAATTGTTTTTCTTTCAGTTGATGCAAGCAGGTAGTTTGAACTTTAGCTTTGAGTGCATTTTATTGCACTTTCTTTACTTGAGTCTGTCTTTATGTTGTGCTCAGCTGTGGTAAGAACAGAAGCAAATGAACAAACCACCTGCATGTAAACAAAACTCAGTGTTACGGGAATGACATGAGCGCAGTGAGAATTTAAAAGTCTCAGTGTAGAGCATCGAAAGTGAAAGTGTGCGGCTGGATGTCTGACCACGTGGCCGGCGTGTGGACCCTCTTACCTGCAGCGGTGTAGTCTGCAGGGCTGCTCAGCTGGCTGATGACGTCAGGCAGCTCCACCTGCTGCAGCTGGAACTTCCTCTCCATGTTGATCCTGGCTGAGCTCAGATTCCAGACAAACCGATCCACCGAGGACAGAAAGCCGTGGACATGAGGGCAGGATGCCGCCTCCGGCACAGAGCCCCACGTCTGGACACACAAACAGGCGTCAGCGCTAAAAGCACACCCCGGTATTTAAATCCTTCCCCTCCTTGTAACTGATTTGAGTCCCGTACCGCGGAGCTCAGCATGTTCAGGATATTGCTTCATTATCTGGCTTCACTCAACCCAACCATTGCAGTCACATGAAGCTGGTTGTCCCCTCACCAGGTCCACCAGAGTGTCTGAAGCTACCGCTGAGTAAGCTTACATCAGTTACTATAAAATTATTTATATACAATCTGGACTAGAGTTCCCCAGAAGACCTGTGGAGACTCTGAAGTCACCTGGAAGAAGGTTCTCTGGTCTGAGGAGACCAAGATGGAGCTTTTAGTTCATCAGACTAGATGCTAAGTTTGGTGGAAACCAAACACTGAACATCACCACAAACACACCATCCGCACTGTGAA